CATTTTGGAGTCACCTTTTATTGTAAATAAAAATAGTAGAATATGTTTCTAAACACTTCTACAAAAAATGTCTGCAGCATTGAAGGTCCCCAAGAACACAGTGGCCTCCATCATTCTTAAATGGAAGAACATTGGAACCACCAAGACTCTTTTTCTAGAGCTGGTCTGATGAAACCAAGATTGAACTTTTTGCCTGAATGCCAAGCGTCACGTCTGGAAGAAACCTGGCACCATCCCTACGGTGAAGCATGGTGGTGGCAGTATCATGCTGTGGGGATGTTTTTCAGCAGCAGGGACTGGGAGACTAGTCAGGATTGAGGAAAAGATGAACGGCGCAAAGTACAGAGAGATCCTTGATGAAAACCTGCTCCAGAGCTCTCAGGACCTCAGACTGGGGCGAAGGTTCACCTTCAAACAGGACAATAACCCTAAGCACACAGCCAAGACAACGCAGGAGTGGCTTCGGGACAAGTATCTGAATGTCCTTGAGTGGCCCAGCCAGAGCCCAGACTTGAACCCGATCGAACATCTTTGGAGAGACCTTAAAATAGCTGTGCCGCAACGCTCCCCATCCAACCTGACAGAGCTGGAGAGCATCTGCACAGAAGAATGGGAGAAACTCCCCAAAGCTTGTAGTGTCATACCCAAGAAGAGTCGATGCTGTAATCACTGCCAAAGGTGCTTCAACAAAGTGCTGAGTAAAGGGTCTGAATACTTATGTAAATGTAATACCAGTTTATTTATTGAAATAAATTAGCAAAAGATTCTAAAAACCTGTTTTTGCTTCGTCATTATGGAGTATTGTGTGTAGAATGATATTTGGTTTTTACATCAATTTTAGAATAAGGTTGTAATGTAACAAAATTTGGAAAAAGTCAAGGGGTCTGAATACTTTCCGAAGGCACTGTATAAGTGAGTTTGTCACAATACTTTTGGTCCCCTAAAATGGGGGGGGGGGGGGGGAACATGTGCAAAAAGTGCTGTAACTTTTAAATGTTCACCCGATAAGGATGAAAATACCCTCAAATTAAAGCTGACCGTCTGCACTTTAACCTCGTAGTCATTGTATAATTTCAAATAAAGTACAAAACAAAGTTGTCACAATACATTTGGATTTCACTGTATTTTTGTATGTTTTTGACCATTTTAATTGAACAATCTCATTTAAGGTGCTTTAATTTGAGGGTATTTTCATCCTTATCGGGTGAACATTTAAAAGTTACAGCACTTTTTGCACATGTTGAAGAGTGGAGAACAGGAGGACTTCTTAAAGAAAAACTAACAGGTCTGTGAGAGCCAGAATTCTTACTGGTTGGTAGGTGATCAAATACTTATGTCATGCAATAAAATGCAAATTAATTACTTAAAAATCATACAATGTGATTTTCTGGATTTTTGTTTTAGATTCCGTCTCTCACAGTTGAAGTGTACCTATGATAGAAATTACAGACCTCTACATGCTTTGTAAGTAGGACAGGGTTCTTCAATTCCGGTCCTGGAGGGCCGAAACACTTCTGTTTTTTATTTCTACCTGGTAGATAATTGCACTCGCCTGGTGTCCCAGGTCTGAATTAGCCCCTGATTAGAAGGAGAGGATGAAAAACAGAGGTGTTTCGGCCCTCCAGGACCGGAATTGAAGAACCCTGAAGTAGGATAACCTGCAACATCGGCAGTGTATCAAATACTTGTTTTCCCCACTGTATAATAATATAATATGCCATTTAGCAGACGCTTTTATCCAAAGCGACTTAGTCATGCGTGCATACATTATTATTTTTTTTGTGTATGGGTGGTCCCGGGGATCGAACCCACTACCTTGGCGTTACAAGCGCCGTGCTCTACCAGCTGAGCTACAGAGTATGTATGTGTGTGTGTGTGTGTGTGTGTGTGTGTGTGTGTGTGTGTGTGTATATATATATATATATATATATATATATATATATATATATATATACATATACATACATACACACATACACTGCTCAAAAAAATAAAGGGAACATTTAAACAACACATCCTAGATCTGAATGAATGAAATAATCTTATTAAATACTTGTTTTCTTTACATAGTTGAATGCGCTGACAACAAAATCACACACAAATTGTCAATGGAAATCAAATTTATCAACCCATGGAGGTCTGGATTTTGAGTCACCCTCAAAATTAAAGTGGAAAACCACTTTAGCTGATCCAGCTTTGATGTAATGTCCTTAAAACAAGTCAAAATGAGGCTCAGTAGTGTGTGTGGCCTCCACATGCCTGTATGACCTCCCTACAACGCCTGGGCATGCTCCTGATGAGGTGGCGGATGGTCTCCTGAGGGATCTCCTCCCAGACCTGGACTAAAGCATCCGCCAACTCCTGGACAGTGTGGTGCAACGTGGCGTTGGCGGATGTCCCAGATGTGCTCAATTGGATTCAGGTCTGGGGAACGGGCGGGCCAATCCATAGCATCAATGCCTTCCTCTTGCAGGAACTGCTGACACACTCCAGCCACATGAGGTCTAGCATTGTCTTGCATTAGGAGGAACCCAGGGCCAACCGCACCAGCATATGGTCTCACAAGGGGTCTGAGGATCTCATCTCGGTACCTAATGGCAGTCAGGCTACCTCTGGCGAGCACATGGAGGGCTGTGCGGCCCCCCAAAGAAATGCCACCCCACACCATGACTGACCCACCACCAAACCGGTCATGCTGGAGGATGTTGCAGGCAGCAGAATGTTCTCCACGGCGTCTCCAGACTCTGTCACGTGCTCAGTGTGAACCCGCTTGCTACCACTAGAGTGAAAGCACCGCCAGCATTCAAAAGTGACCAAAACATCAGCCAGGAAGCATAGGAACTGAGAAGTGGTCTGTGGTCACCACCTGCAGAACCACTTCTTTATTTGGGGTGTCTTGCTAATTGCCTATAATTTCCACCTGTTGTCTATTCCATTTGCACAACAGCATGTGAAATGTATTGTCAATCAGTGTTGCTTCCTAAGTGGACAGTTTGATTTCACAGAAGTGTGATTGACTTGGAGTTACATGGTGTTGTTTAAGTGTTCCCTTTATTTTTTTGAGCAGTGTATATATAATAAAGTACAGGTTCCTAAAAAAAATGACCTAAGTCGTACTTTACACCACTGCCTACCCACACAGCATCTGCGAGCTGTTGGCTAGAGAGCATATGCCAAGAACAAAGTAGATACATTTGCTATTTAACGGAACAGTTTTTGTGATGGAAACACATTGAACATTACATTTTTATTTGGTACATAACTTAAGTGAAAAAGTACATTTTGTGTGCACTGTCATCAGGCACAGACTTTTATCAGCAACAATTCCGTTTGGTGGAAACACCATTGCGGGGAAAATATAAATATTTTCTTTATGTGGATTATAGAATATTTGCATGAACATCTGTCGCCAATTGGATGGAAATGTAGCTAGTGACTCAGAGTGTAAAATATGTTAAAGATTAAAAGTGTAATCATTGATTGGGCTTGCATAGAGCTCGCCAGTTTGTATTATACTGAACAAAAATATAAACACAACATGTAAAGTGTTGGTCCCATGTTTCATGAGCTGAAATAAAAGATCCCAGAAATGTTCCATATGCACAAAAAGCTTATTTCTCTAAAATGTTATGCACAAATTTGTTTACATCCCTGTTAGTGAGCGTTTCTCCTTTGCCAAGATAATCCATCCACCTGACAGGTGTGGCATATCAAGAAGCTGATTAAACAGCATGATCATTACACAGGTGCACCTTGTGCTGGGAATGTGTCCTTTTGTCACACAACACAATGCCACAGATGTCTCAAGTAGAGGGAGCGTACAATTGGCATACTGACTGCAGGAATGTCCACCAGAGCTGTTGCCAAACACTTGAATGTTCATTTCTCTATCATAAAACGTCGTTTTAGAGAATTTGGCAGTACGTCCAACCAGCCTCACACCCGCAGACCATGTGTAACCACACCAGCCCAGGACCTCCACATCTGGCTTCTTCACCTGCGGGATCGTCTGAGGGGGGAATGGGGGCGCTGAGGAGTATTTATCTCTGTAATAAAGCCCTTTTGTGGGGAAAAACAAATTATGATTGTTGGGCCTATGCCCACCCATGGCTGCACCCCTGCCCAGTCATGTGAAATCTATTGATTAGGGCCCACTTTATTTATTTCAATAGATTTATATGAACTGTAACTCAGTAAAATCTTTGAAATTATTGCATTTATATTTTTGAAAAATGAATGGGGAAAGAATAGGGTTTTGGAATAAACGCCGACAATACGGTCTGAGGGTTAACTCCGTCTTAGGAGATCTTTAAAGTTTTGTTCTATGAGATAATAGCAGGTTTGTGCTTTTCACAAAAAGTGACAGCTAATGATTATCAAACAAAACATATACGTTCTCCTAAGCCTGTGTTTACCACAGACCTTATTTTTGGCATTTATCCAAAATTGCCATTCATTTTCTCCATAGGCTTTCTCCAACGAACCACGGCGGAGTTAATGCCTACAAAAAGATGCCATTACCATGTGTCTTTTGAATGTCTTGAGTCCATTGAAAACAAAGGCTGTGTCTGAAGACATTACTACAGTAGTTAAGTTCTCAATTCCTCTCAAAGCACACTGGAGGAGAGGATCCAAGGTCCCCTTCCCTCTGACTTCCTCCTCCAATGAGCTTCGAGAGGTATGGAGGACAGAGGAAGAACTGGGTCAACGTTTGCTACGCAGCACGGTCTGTCCTGAACGACACTTGGTGAAACTGCAGGTATGTTTGCTCCCGTTTGGACGGTGAGGCGTGGCCTGATTTAATATGGGTGTGAACATCTGACGTCTCAAAACTCACGCAGCACACCGTATGGTATCTGCCCTCACCCTAATCACAACGGTTTTCAACTGCTCGTTCCATACAGTACCATTTCTGTTGAATTCAACGTTGCTGTCGTCACTCTATACATTTCATATATACTGTAAAGAGAAGTATTTTGTCCTATTCAGAAACAGTCGGAGTTGTCATTATTTATTGGTCACAGTTTAATAAGCACATAATAAAAAAGAGGATATTTACAGATTTAAAACAAAAATCATTTTTACACTAAAATACACACAATTTTAACTCACATTAAGCATGCTCCCCAAGAGTAGGAACCATACATAAAAAAGACAACAGTAAAGTGCATCATTTGAGAAACCTCCCCATTGTTATTTCTGATCGAAAGGGAAGGGAGAACTGCACTTTTCAGTCACACACACACTTCCTATTATGTGCAAAAAAAGTGACAAACATTATTTAAAAACATAAATATCCATATGGAGATATTCTGCCCCACACAGTTCAGACTCCAAAAGATATTAAACACACACATCCTAAAATGATTTTAAAAACACACTACAGACATACAGTATGCAACAATAAACATTACACATCCTAGAAGTCACTACATACATGATGCCCACAACACCCTCTCGCCCTGAACAGATAAGCTTTGTGTTAGCTATAAATCAATATAATCCATCTAGCCTTCCAATGATCCCAGAGGCCAGCATATTGTAGACCCATCTGATTTTCTACAATCTGCCAGGGAAGGTGGAGGGGCTCGGGGAAGTGGCTGGCGTTTGACCAGCTTTCAAATAGTTCCAGAAAGAAATTAACCAGTTTTCATCATTGTGTCTCTGGCGCTCTCTCTCTCAGACACACACACTGTGAGGATCACATAGTGTGGTAGAGGGTGCTGACAGTCCATTTCTTCAGCCTGCGTAGCGGGTGTGTCCTTCCGTACTGCTGTCGTGTTGCCACGGAGATCAGGTCGGGCGTCAGCAAGGGGGCGTGGCCAGAGTCAGGACGTTTCCCCTTCTGCCAGCCCTGATTGGACGTAGGAGAACGCGAGTGTTCTGATGGGGTGTGTCCACTCTCACAAGGCCCCTCCGCTCTGTTCCTGAGGGACTCCTGCCTGCTGGTGGAGACAGAAGGACACAGGGCATTGTGGAATAGCACCCTGAGTTTCTTGGAGGACTCGTCAGCTGCTGCCGAAGGAGGGAGGGCTTCCAGAGTGGGTGTCACCGGAGAGGTGGGGCTAATCTCCCAGTCACTCAGGTCATTGGCCGACAGCTCTAGGCAGCCCAGCTTAGCCAATGAGGCAGAGCGCTTCATCAGGGAGGGCGGGGTCAGCCCAGCCTGGCGAATCCGTGCCTCCACCTCCCTGGCTCTCTGCCGGTCGCCACCCCTGACCCTCTTCTGCCTCGCCTCCACACCTTCCCCACACACCTTGGCTCCGCCCCCGCTCACCTGGCGAAGGAACGCCCCCAGCTCCCGCAGAGTTTCCCACGTCTCCCTCATGATGATGTCACCGGGGGGTCCTCGACCCGGGGGACTGTCCCAGTCTGTGCCCGACTCAAACTCTGTCACCCCCTCCAGACACAGGATATCCATGGATGAGAGGGGGGCGAGGGCGGAGCGTAGGGTAGGGTGGTGAGGGGTGATGGGGGTAGGGTGGAGAGGGGTGATGGGTGGAAGGTGGAAGGTAGATACAAGGCTGCCATCAGTAATGTTGTGTTTGTGCGTTTGGCCACTGTCTTCATGTAAACCTTCTCTCCAAGCCTCCTGTCCTCCATCTTCCATAGGACTACAGCCCCCATCCTCCTCCTTTTCCTGCATAGTGCTGACCTCTGACCCCTGCAGGCAGAGTGGTGCATTCTGGGGGTTGGAGTTTGTCTCTGGGAGGGGGTGAGAGGCAGGAGGGGAGTGTTCTCTTGAGTGAGGGAAGAGAGGGGAGCGACGATGGGGGTGGGTCGGGTGGAGGGAAGGTGGAGGTGGGGAAGGGGAGTCGTGCCTCATTCGCTGCTCCAGCTGTTGGGTGACGCGGCGCACAGAGCCCAACGCCCAATCACCAGAGTGAGGGGCGGGAGGAGAGTTGGAGACTGCTTCCATCTCTTCTGCTTTGTCCTTCACTTCCTCTTTGATATCCTCCACTTCCTGCTGTGACTCTGCATCTTTGCCCTCTACTTCCTGGTTTGACTGACCCACTTCCTGGTCCTGGGAAGCAGTAGGCTCATGTTGGCTGGGAGGGCCAGGGGGAGGGATCACAGTGTGCATCAAGGACTCCAGTTCTGTGACTATGAGGTGAACAGAGACGATGTTGTTCTGAGAGACAGAAGAGAGAAAAGAACAGCAATCAGTTAAAGAAAGTAAATAGATGTAGTCTTCTTGTAAGTTGGTAGCCAAAGATAGTTTCCTTAAGATCCCCTCTAACATCACTGGGTGGCGATGTCGGAGAACACAAAACTCACAACTGAATCTATTAGGTACACCCATCTACATAGTACTGGGTCTGACGTGCCTTTGCCTCCAGAATTCTTTGGGGCATGGATTCTACAAGTCAGAAACGTGCACTACGCAGTTGCTGCAGATCGGACGGGCCCATCTTAGCTAATATTTTGGGGGTTTTTTTGCCCATAGATTTTGTTGTACATTTTTAGTCACTCAAATATCACATGAATACACATTAGACATGGCAAAATTTATAGAATTGCAAGAATATGAGCTTTAAAACTGCAAAACGTTCTTTGCACCCCATGAAAAAATTTGAAGAATTGCAGGAAATAAGCTTTAACCCGCAAAACTCTCTCCACCAACAAGAAGGGTGTGAACAGTTTGTGTTATGAACAGTGCTTGTGCCCATAGAAATAGACGTGGCGCGTGCGCGGGATGTTACCCAATGCTGGAAGGTGGGACCTGAGTGAAAAAGTTTAGGAACCCCTGATTTAGCAGACGCTGTTATCCAGAGCGACTTACAGGAGCAATAAGGCTTAAGTTCCTTGCTCAAGGGCACAGACAGATTTTTCTCCTAGTCGGTTCGGGGATTCGAACCAGCAACCTTTCGGTTACTGGCCCAACGCTCTTAACCACTAGGCTATCTGACATCCAGTTTTTAGCTGATAGGAGTGGAACCCATCTGTGACAAAGATCGACGAGTTGTGCATTCCGAGATGCCGTTCTGCACACCACTGTTGTACTGCACCATTATGTGTCTGTTTGTGGCCCGCCTGTTAGCTTGCATGATTCTTGCCATTCTCCTTCGACCGCTCTGCCGCTGACTTGATGTTTTTTGTTTATCGCACCGTTCGTTCTCGGTAAACCCTAGACACTATTGTGCGTGAAAAGCCCAGGAGGCCAGCCGTTTCTGAGATACTGGATCCGGCGCCTGGCACCGACGATTATACCAGATCAAAGTCGCTTAGGTCACTCGTTTTGCCCATTCAATCGAACAGTAACTGAATGCCTCGATGCCTGTCTGCCTGCTTTATATAGCAAGCCACAGCTACGTGACTCACTGTCTCTGTAGGAGCGATACATTTTCGTGAACGGGGTAATAAACTGTCCGTTTCTGTATTTCTGTATGAACATGCTTACTCCACTTGAAAGAGTCCAAGTTCTGTGTGGAACAGTTGTATTGCAACTACAGATAGTAAAATTTAAAATCAATGAAACACTGATTGCCTTTAGTACAGTGCAAAGACTCATGTCACAGGACTTGATCAAATTCATCATTAAAATAGTCTCACCCTCTTCCTCTCCTCGACCTCCTCCTCCTCCTCCTCTCCCTCCTCAGTCGCCACAGCAGAGGGGTCCTCCTGCTGCTCCTGTCCTGGATCCCTGGGTATGGGCTGAGGTGTCTGTTGCAGTGCCTGATCAGAAAGGAAACGGGTCCTCCCGTCCTGAGTCAGACCCTGGAACTTCTCTCTGGCGCTGAAGAAGTTGATGTGGTCTGTGCTGAGAGCCGAGGACCCCCCCGCCCCGGCAGCAGGGTCCTGGGGGGGGGCACTGGGCTGGCTAATGATGAGTACCTCAATACTGGAGGGTTGTTGGGATGCTGAACTGTCCAAACATGCCCCAGGTAACCGCTGGTCACAGTCTAGTTTCTTGTCAGGCACTGGTGTGGACGGCTCTTGTGGTCCTGCTGTTTGTGTGCTTGTTTCCGGGGTCATCGACGATGACTCCAGCACTGATGGGGTCACCTGTGGCTGAGAGTATTTTTCCTTAGGCAAGGTGGTGGACGGCTCCTTGGCTTTCGGAGTCTTGTCTGCATCGGAGGGGGTTGGAAGGGAGAGGGGGAGGTGGTGAAGGGAGGGGGGTGGGTGAGGGCGCCCGACAGGCACTGTCTCCGCCACAGTTACCGTAGAAATGTCAGGCACCACGGTGGCCGCCCGCGGCTGGGGGAGAGGCGGGGTCGAGGGGTCCTCCTCGGAATCACACAGGCCGTTGGAGAGAGGGGGTGACGGGGAACATACAGACTCCCCCTGGGCCTGGGAACCAGTGGAGGCAGTAGTAACTGTTGCTGGTGAAGGCTTCTGGTCGCCAGTAGGAGAAGACTGGTCGCCAGTAGGAGCAGACTGGTCGCCAGTAGGAGCAGACTGGTCCGCCAGTAGAGCAGACTGGTCGCCAGTAGGAGAAGACTGGTCGCCAGTAGGAGAAGACTGGTCGCCATAGCAGATGTCCCAGTAGAAGCAGACTGGTCGCCAGTAGGAGCAGACTGGTCGCGTAGGAGAGACGGTCGCCGTAGGAGAGACTGTCGCCGTCGGAAGCAAACTGGTCGCCGTAGGAGAAGACTGGGGTGCCAGTAGGGAATACTGGTCCCAGTAGGAGCGGAACTGGCGCAGTAGGAGAACTGGTCGCCAGTGGGAAGACTGGCGCATAGGATGCAACTGGTCGCCAGTAGGAGCAGACTGGTCGCCAGTAGGAGCAAGACTGGTCGCCAGTAGGAGCAAGACTGGTCGCCAGTAGGAGAAGACTGGTCGCCAGTAGGAGCAGACTGGTCGTCAGTAGGAGAAGACTGGTCGCCAGTAGGAGCAGACTGGTCGCCAGTAGGAGCAGACTGGTCGCCAGTAGGAGAAGACTGGTCGCCAGTAGGAGAAGACTGGTCGCCAGTAGGAGAAGACTGGTCGCCAGTAGGAGCAGACTGGTCGCCAGTAGGAGCAGACTGGTCGCCAGTAGGAGAAGACTGGTCGCCAGTAGGAGAAGACTGGTCGCCAGTAGGAGCAGACTGGTCGCCAGTAGGAGCAGACTGGTCCCCAGTGCCTACTGACTGGTCTCCAGTTGTGGAGGTCAACAGAGCTTCAGTCCTAGTCTTCTGGTTAGTGTCCATGTTATTCTCTTGGGTAGCAGTAGTATTGGGCTGGCTACTGGACTGTACCACCTTCCCTGCACTAGAGGGGGTCCCACACTCAGAGATGGACTGCACCACCTGCCCCGTGTTGGAGGGGGTGCCCAGCGGCTGCAGCAGCTCCTGCAGTGAGGGGGTGGCGGGGCTGTTACCCTGGTTACGGGGATCGGAGCGGCCCAGGGTGTGGGGGTGTTGGGCGGTCTTACACAGCGGCTCGTGGTGCTCTGATAGGTCACTGTCTGAGTGGGAACGCCACAGCTTGTTGTGCCTCTGCTTACTGGGGGAGGGGGGGGAGGAGAGAGGGGAGAGAGAGGGGGGCGAGTAGTAGAGAGAGGGGGGCGAGAAAGAGGGGGGAGAGGGTAGTGGAGAGAGCGATAGGGAGAAGTGGAGAGAGCGATAGGGGGAAGTGGAGAGAGAGAGAGGGGGAGGGTAGTGGAGAGCAAGAGAGATCGAGGGAGAGCGAGAGAAAGAGAGGGGGGAGAGTAGAGAGAAAGAGGGGGGAGTGGAGCGAGAGGGGGGGAGTGGAGAGAGAGGGGAGTGGAGAGAGGGAATAGTGACAGAAGAAGACAAAGAAAGAGGGAATAGAGAGAAGAGATATATATTAATTACTCATTTCTGGTAGGTTCCTCCTGTCCTTTGGGTGGTGGACCATTCTTGATATACATAAGAAACTGTTGAATGTGCAATTGCAATTCTTGACACAAACCGGTGCACCTGGCACCTACTACCATACCCCGTTCAAAGGCACTTAAATATTTTGTCTTGCCCATTCACCTTCTGAATGGCACACATACACAATCCATGTCTCAATTGTCTCAAGGCATAAAAATCCTTCTTTAACCCGTCTCCTCCCCATTCATCAAACACTAACATATCTGCTTAGAATGTCTTTACTGGGTATGTTGTGTAAGTAAGAGAGAATGCAGTCTTGGGGTGTGTGTACGTGTGTTAGCTAGTGCAGTGTGTGTGTACCTGGCCAGCAGTATGCCCTGGTATTCCTCTAGCTGTCTCATAAATGACGGGTTAGGTTTGGTGACGGCACGTCGCTCCTTAACGTAGTTGAATGCTCTCTCCAGGTCCCAGCCGTACTCCTTCATAGCGTAGGCTATCACCGTGGAGGCAGAGCGACTCACACCCATCTTACAGTGCACCAGACACTTAGCTCCCGCTTTCCTACAGGGACACAGACCGACACATTATTTAACACACACACACACACACAGACTCTAGAACTGGTTAAGGGACTGATATAGGAGCACAGAGATAAGAGAGGTTAGAGAGACAGACAAAGATGGGAGAGACAGATATAGAAAGATGGCGGAGAGAAATACAGACCATCTCTAGAAAGATGAGAAAGACGTGAGTGAAAGAGAGTGAAAGAGAGTTGAGAGAAAGAGGAGAGAGTTGAGAGAAAGCGAGTTGAGAAAAAGAGAGAGTTGAGAGAAAGCGAGAAAGCGAGCGAGAGAGTTGAGGGAAAGCGAGCGAGAGAGTTGAGAGAAAGCGAGCGAGAGAGTTGAGGGAAAGAGAGCGAGAGAGTTGAGAGAAAGCGAGAAAGCGAGGGAGAGAGTTGAGGGAAAGCGAGCGAGAGAGTTGAGAGAAAGCGAGAAAGCGAGCGAGAGAGTTGAGGGAAAGAGAGCGAGAGAGTTGAGGGAAAGCGAGAAAGCGAGCGAGAGAGTTGAGGTAAAGAGAGCGAGAGAGTTGAGGGAAAGCGAGAAAGAGAGCGAGAGAGTTGAGGGAAAGAGAGCGAGAGAGTTGAGAGAAAGCGAGAAAGCGAGCGAGAGAGTTGAGGGAAAGAGAGCGAGAGAGTTGAGGGAAAGCGAGCGAGAGAGTTGAGAGAAAGCGAGCGAGAGAGTTGAGAGAAAGCGAGAAAGCGAGCGAGAGAGTTGAGGGAAAGCGAGCGAGAGAGTTGAGAGAAAGCGAGCGAGAGAGTTGAGGGAAAGAGAGCGAGAGAGTTGAGGGAAAGAGAGTGAGAGAGTTGAGAGAAAGAGAGCGAGAGAGTTGAGGGAAAGAGAGCGAGAGAGTTGAGGGAAAGAGAGCGAGAGAGTTGAGGGAAAGAGAGCGAGAGAGTTGAGGGAAAGAGAGCGAGAGAGTTGAGGGAAAGAGAGCGAGAGAGTTGAGGGAAAGAGAGCGAGAGAGTTGAGGGAAAGAGAGCGAGAGAGTTGAGGGAAAGAGAGCGAGAGAGTTGAGGGAAAGAGAGCGAGAGAGTTGAGAGAAAGAGAGCGATAGAGAGAGAGCGCCTAAAGTCCACAGAGGTCAGACTCAGTCGGCCAGTCCAGTAGTGACTCACTTGGCTCTGGAGATGAACTTGTAGGTGTCGTTCCAGTAGGCCAGCAGGTCTGTAGCCTCCTCATCATACACACGGATGTTATGGTACTCAAACACACCTGGGAAGAAGTTGTCAATCTCCCTTGTCACGTTCAGAATATACTGCACACTGGGGAGGGAGGAGAGCGAGAAAGGGGGGTAGGATGGGGAGGGAGGGAGAGGGGGAAGGATACGTAGGGGAAGGAATGAAGGGAAGGGAGAAAAAGAGGGAAGGGAAAGAGAGAGATGTGGACAGGTTGTCATTATAGATGTGTAGGCAATGTAAATAGAATTGAGGTTTTGAATTTTATGAGCAGTGCAGTATGGGAGTAGTAGTTCTCCAGAACAGGCCTTACCCACTGTTCTGCAGCTCCTCCAGATTGGATGCATTCCACTCAGAGCCCTGTAGGGAAACAAAAACACTATGAGATCAGTTCCACTCCAGTCCAGCTTTTTTTCCCCCAATGTCCCTTTACACTTTTAGGTCAGGGGAAGTCGGTTTAATTGGCAACAATAATAACCAGTTACACAGTAAGTACTACAGCGTTAAGTACTACAGCGTTAAGTACTACAGCGTTAAGTACTACAGCGTTAAGTACTACAGCGTTAAGTACTACAGCGTTAAGTACTACAGCGTTAAGTACTACAGCGTTAAGTACTACAGCGTTAAGTACTACAGCGTTATGTACTACAGCGTTAAGTACTACAGCGTTAAGTACTACAGCGTTAAGTATTAAAAGAGAAAAGACAGGGATAGAATCAGAGAAGAGAATGGCAGGCAGACAGACAGACAGACCGACCTACAGACAAATCTACCTACCAGGTAAACAGTACAGGTTCAACAGATGTGTACAGTCAGTAACCACAACCTGGTGATGCACCTGGCGCCATGTTAACCCCTCATCATACTCACTGGGACCCTCACTGACAGACAGACAGACAGACAGACAGACAGACCTACCAGGTAAACATGGTCGAATATCTCAGTGGGACTGTCCATCTGGCCCAGGATCAGGATCATCTCGTTGTCTATGTACTCCTTAAACTCACACAGGTTACACACCATGTGCACCTCCAGCTCTGTGCGGATCTGGACAGAACACACGGGTTAAATGCTCATACACACGACGTGCATTTCCACCACGGGACTAACAGAGAATCTATAACCTATGACAGCATGTTCTGAACACACACACACCTCTTTGCAGGTGACATTCTCCAGGTCTTTCTGCATCATGATCTCTCTCAGACGAGTCTTGATCAGCCGCTCCGTCCTCTCTCTCTCTGTCGGCCTGGAAACACACAGCAGGCAGTGGAAGTGTGTGAGATCACCCTCCCTCCTTGACTTCAAACGAGACGCGGACCCTTCCATCTTTCTTTCTTAACCCCTCCCACCTCCACCCTTTTTCAGGCCATAAACCAGAGGTATATAATATTGTGTGGTATATACCTGTGAATGTGTAGTGGCGTGTGCGTTGTGTAGTGGACACGACTGTGGTAAAACAGCTCAGGGAATGTAACAGTGGCTCTGTGCTAGCTTGTTACATTTCCAGCACCACCGTGAGATTTCAACAATAACTATTTCAAGGTCACTTTCAGGTCCATAGAAACAGCACTGATGTTAAAATCCTCCCTCTTAATCCACGTTCACCCAATTAGACAGTTAAACAAGAACTTGATTCATGACAGATAGTTAGCCCTGAGGACCAGAGCTTGTACATGAGCTCTTTGCAAAACGTTATGGGAAGACTCGTGGTGCTGGTTGTAGCTCAGTCAACATCTGAACAATACATGTAGCTAGGAGCTACACACGTTTTGTTTTACTGTGCATCGGTTTTTATGTGTTTATCATGGGACCTCAAGTGATTAACATTTCCAATGTAGTGATTACACATGGCAAAACACTCCCGATCTAAGGCACTGCATCTCAGTGCTAGAGGCGTCATTACAGACCCTGGTTCGATTCCAGGCTATATCACAACCCATAGGGGCGGCACACAATTGGCCCAGCGTCGTCCGGGTTTGGTCGGGGTAGGCCGTTATTGTAAATAAGAATTTGTTCTTAACTGACTTGCATAGTTAAAAAAAAAAAAAAAAAAAAAAAAAAAGAGTCCCACACGTTATGTAGTGTGTTTGTGACACTCACATGCCAGAGAACAGCACGGGAGAGTCGGCACGATGTGATTGGACGTCCTGCATGGCGTTCCACTCGTTGATGCGTGATTGGTCAGAGGAGACCCGGCTCTGGTAGTAGCTGACCCAGGTCAGGAACAGGCTGCCGGGGTAGTAGTTATGGCAACGAGCCACCTCACACGCCTTGTGGAGCGACTGCAGAGCAGACCTGGGAGAGGAGAGAGGAGAGAGGGATGGAGAGACAGCGGGTAGAAGGGGGTGAGAATGTGACATTGATGAGAAGATCAAGGTAAAATAACAAAGAAGAGGTGTATCAGACATTAAAGCTAGCATAGTGGAAACAAACCAGTAACAAATATACTCACCACATGGCCTGCACTGACACAGGCTTGAATACATGGATCCTGTTATCAGTGGACACACTGAAACCCCTGAGAGAGAGAGAGTCAAATAAGCACTCAAGAATTTACAAAAGGTCCCTTTTTCCTCAAACTCCTCTGAACCACACATCTGTGGAGATGAGCGTGTTCCTGTCAGTGTGGTGTGTATGTGAGAGAGACATTCTTACCCGTCTCCATCCAGGTGTATCAGTGAGTCGCTCCATAGGGGGAGAACCAGCCCCACCGAGCACGAGCTGGAAGAGCCACACAAAATAAGCTTGTGTTACTACACCACGTTGCTCTACGATAGTCCATGCTCAATACGATCTCTGAGTCCACACACGCACACACACCTGTCTGCAGGGCTGAAGTCCATGCCCAGCACCAGGCTCTCCTCTGTGTCCTGGCGGCCGTTAGTGGAGACCACCACCATGTAGCGAGTCCCCTGGTATAAGGTACTCTCCAACCGTACAGCCTAGAGAGAGGAGAGAGGGAAGGAGAGAAGTACAGAGAGAGTAAAGAAAAGGAAGTGTGAAGACCAGATCTTGATCATGCAGGTGTGTGTGCTCACCAGTTTGATGTTGTCCTCTGGTCGGAGGAGAGTGAACATGGTCTGCAGGTGCTGCTGGAGGTCACCTGGAGACACACACACACACTCTTAACACTGCGCTCTATGTGTACCCATGATAACCACCACCACACTGTACCATTCCTCGGTATAGCATCCTTATGGCATTTACAGTATAATTAGCATAGCTGCTCATTAGTAAATGCTAAATCAGCTAATGTCTTCTCTCTGTCACACTAATGCTTTATCACTGGCATATTTTCATTCGTCTTTCCCCTAATTGAAATGTGAATTAGGGAGTTTCTCATGGCCACCGTGCTTTGCTTGCTCTTTGCGGTCTAGGCCAGGTAACTGGTAAACACTTGGTGACAACTGCTGACGTCAAAAAGAGCTTTATCAAATACATTTGATTGATTGATCTGGACATGAAGCTACCATGCTCCGTTTCCCATAACGTCTGTACTCCGTACTGTACCTGCATGTTTGCTGCGGAGCTGAGAGAACCGGGAGGCGGAGGTAGGGGAGGAGCCATTTCCCCGGGGCAGGAAGAGGGCGGCGCCTTTCACTGTCAGGAAGCTCTCACTGATACTGGAAGAGAGCGAGAGAGAGACAGAGACAGAGACAGAGACAGAGAGAGAGAGAGAGAGAGAGAGAGAGAGAGAGAGAGAGAGAGAAGTGTAGCAGGACAAGAGGGAGCGATGGAGAGGAGGAAGAGTGTTAAAATGCATTCACAACAACCAAAACTAATTCAATCCTATTCATTATGGTAGAACCCCCCAGTCTGCTGGCCCTGAGGCAGGGCAGTGTAACTGAGGAATAACAGGGAATAGAAGAGGTCCCATAGAGAGCGAGAGCAAACAGTCAGAGGGGAACAAAAACAGAACATCCCGTGCCCCCGACTCTTTTCCAGGTTCCAGCACACCACTACATATGGGTTGTTGTGTGATGACAAAGTGTGACCTATTAGATGGATCTGTTCCGGAGTGCCATAATGTGAGAAGATGTTCTCTTAAAACGAACGTGTGTGTGTGTGTGTGTGCAAGCGTGGGAAGAAACGCTAGTGGGCGTGGTGTTTGGCCGGAGCGATGTGATGGGGATGTCAGGCCCATCACTGAATACCTACAGTAACGACAAATGTTTTATTTCTTTATCTTAAAATCAGAAATATGACTTAACAGTACAGAGGACTAGGCCTACTCACTGGCTGCGTCCCAATGTTACTTTTGACCAGGGCTCATAGGGCTTTGGACAAAAGTAGTGCACTATATGGGGAATAGGGTTCCATTTGGGACAAGCACTCTGTAAAGTAATCTAGTGTACTCCCAACTCTGTCTACTTGTGGTGGGCTTTCATGTTCTCTGCTGAGAACAGCAGTTTTATCCTGCAGGCTGAAACTGGCCTCACTCAGTTCTAAAAGGCATTAATGTACTGGTCTGCAGTAGAATACAGTACTGAAGGTACAGTACTGGTCTGCAGTAGAATACAGTACTGAAGGTACAGTACTGGTCTGCAGTAGAATACAGAACTGAAGGTACAGTACTGGTCTGCAGTAGAATACAGAACTGAAGGTACAGTACTGGTCTGCAGTAGAATACAGAACTGAAGGTACAGTACTGGTCTACAGTAGAATACAGAACTGAAGGTACAGTACTGGTCTGCAGTAGAATACAGAACTGAAGGTACAGTAATGGTCTGCAGTAGAATACAGTACTGAAGGTACAGTACTGGTCTGCAGTAGAATACAGAACTGAAGGTACAGTACTGGTCTGCAGTAGAATACAGAACTGAAGGTACAGTACTGGTCTGCAGTAGAATACAGTACTGAAGGTACAGTACTGGTCTGCAGTAGAATACAGTACTGAAGGTACAGTACTGGTCTGCAGTAGAATACAGTACTGAAGGTACAGTACTGGTCTGCAGTAGAATACAGAACTGAAGGTACAGTACTGGTCTGCAGTAGAATACAGAACTGAAGCTACAGCAGTGTTTCCCAAACTCGGTCCTGGGGTCCCCCCTGGGTTCGCGGTTTATTTTTTGCCCTTGCACTACACAGCTGATTCAAATAATCAAAGCTTGATGATGAGTTGATTATTTGAAATCAGCTGTGTGGGAAACCCTTAGCTACAGTATGGGTCTGCAGCAGTGCAAGGGGCAGTGAAATCTGAGCTTTCAGACCAAAACACTAAATACCTCTGCCATGTTCTCTACCACACGTTACACAACACACCGTTTCTGTAGAGAAAATACATTTTTTTCATACTCTGAATCTATGGAGTTTTAACCTGGGCAATACAAATGTTTTCCTTTATCGTGACAACACACCATCCTCCATAACATGGACACACACAAGAGACAGATGACGCACGCGGAAATGTGCTTCCAAACAAACACACAGCTGCTTCCAATTCTGTGGAGACTTAACTGTACTGGACGTGCTCGTGCGTGTGTGTGTGTGTGTGTGTGAGAGAGAGAGTGACAGTGAGCGTGAGAGGAGCTTAAAGACACAGGAGGTCAAGAAAACAGTATGTGTGAGACCGCAGCACGGCCACCTTTGAACTTGACCCTCCTCCTCTATGACGCTTCATTCAGCCACTCTCTCTCTCTCTCTCTCTCTCTCTCTCTCTCTCTCTCTCTCTCTACTGCAGTCACTAGCTTATGGCTTTGGCCTTTATAGAACTTTAGGCGCAAACACATAGAAGATAGTTATTATATTTCTATGGTTTACTAACCCATAAGGACATGTAGCTGCACATCAGGAAACACATGAAAGCGTTTTAACATTTTATTACAGCAGGGGTTCTCTAAGAATATATTACATTTCATTTTTATGAATATTACTAACAGATGAAACAACTTTTGGCCAACGGATCCGTGGAATATGTTTAACGTGTGTAATACAATGTAATATTATTAATCTCCAATGTATGTTCTTAACCCTGGGCAGCATGGGCCTGGGAGGCTCTCAGGGATATTGGTATCCACAGTACTCCACCAATTATACATTTTAACTCAATACTATTCGCCCAAAATGTTTTTGTTTTTTTATGTAAATGCACTGCAATATAAGATTTAAAGATCAAATGCATCCGTTTTAATCTCAATATCAAATAATTTATGGCTAACAATTAAGTACCTTACTGTGATGTTTTCAATTAAAATGGTCAAAAATAAACACAAATACCTTGTCAGAGTGGTCTGAGTAGGGAGTGGAAAACTGAAAAATAGCTGTTATTTGCAGAGAGGTTTGGAACTTACCATCTGGTGTTGTCAACAGGCCAAAACCATCCCACCCGAGACAGAGAGATCGAGACCGAGATAGAGAGACAAAGACCGAGAGAGAGAGAGAGAGAGAGAGACACAGAGACCGAGAGAGACACAGAGACCGAGAGAGAGACAGAGACACAGAGACCGAGAGAGAGACAGAGACATAGAGAGACACAGAGACCGAGAGAGAGACACAGAGACCGAGAGAGAGACAGAGACATAGAGAGACACAGAGACCGAGAGAGAGACACAGAGACCGAGAGAGAGACACAGAGAGAGACAGAGACCGAGAGAGAGAGAGAGAGAGACAGAGACCAAGAGAGAGACAGAGACACAGAGACCGAGACCGAGAGAGAGACAGAGACCGAGAGAGAGACAGAGACCGAGAGAGAGACAGAGACCGAGAGAGAGACAGAGACCGAGAGAGACACACAGAGACAGAGAGAGAGACAGAGACACAGAGACCGAGACCGAGAGAGAGACAGAGACCGAGAGAGAGACAGAGACCGAGAGAGAGACAGAGACCGACAGAGACCGAGAGAGAGACAGAGACACAGAGACCGAGACAGAGACCGAGAGAGAGACTGAGAGAGAGACAGAGACCGAGAGAGAGAGAGAGAGAGAGAGACACACAGAGACCGAGAGAGAGAGAGAGAGAGAGAGAGACACACACACACAGACCGAGAGAGACACACAGAGACAGAGAGAGAGAGAGAGAGAGACACAGAGACCGAGAGAGAGAGACACACAGAGACCGAGAGAGAGAGAGAGAGAGAGAGAGAGAGAGAGACACAGAGACCGAGAGAGACACAGAGACCGAGACACACACAGAGACTGAGAGAGACACACAGAGACACACAGAGACCGAGAGAGAGAGAGAGAGACACAGAGACCGAGAGAGAGACAGAGACACAGAGACCGAGAGAGAGACAGAGACCGAGAGAGAGACACAGACCGAGAGAGAGACAAAGACCGAGAGAGAGACAAAGACCGAGAGAGAGACAAAGACCGAGAGAGAGACAAAGACCGAGAGAGAGACAGAGACCGAGAGAGAGAGACAGAGACCGAGAGAGAGACAGAGACCGAGAGAGACCGAGAGAGAGAGACCGACAGAGACCGAGAGAGAGAGACCGACAGAGACAGAGACCGAGAGAGAGAGAGAGAGAGACTGAGACCGAGAGAGAGTAAAGTGCTGAGTGGACAGTCTGGCTGACAGACACAGCACTGAAACCGACCCACCTAAACACTACTGTACTATAGTGCACACAGCTAGTCAGATACTGTTTCAGACAGCCACCGTTTCAGACAGCTACAGGATGAATTGATCAACAACGTTTACAGTGACACACGCGCACACATAACAGCTGACTGAATAATGATTTGATTAAATTCTCAGCAAACTCATACAATCACACACAGTACAAAGGGGAAACACCCACATCATGCCCTCTAACAGACACTTTCTCTCTTAGTGAAGAGCTACCACACCCTGCATTACACATGTTATACATGTTCTACATGTTTTAGGCACACCATCTCCCTCTGGTACTGTGGCAGCTTAGAGTTGCCCCATAGAGGAGTTATTATGACCAACAGGCGGATGAGTCACAGTTCTGGGAGCAGCAGCCAGGTGAGTGGGTTAGTTATTTCACACAGAGGAGAAGAAGAAGTAGCATTAAGACAAAACCCCCTGAAGCCTGCCAATGCTCACAAACACATCCTTCCTGATACGTAAAACACACAGCCGCACACTCACAACACTCAAATTAATATGTGATCAATCAATTCGTTTTATTTAACAAGGTCCTCAACAGTTGTCCGACAGTAACCTGGCCTAGATCCCAAAGAGCAAACACAAGCTGTGGCTGGAAGGAACTGTAGAAGGAAGAAACCTTGAGAGGACCCAGACAAACGGGGGAGGCCCATCCTTCTCTGAAAAAATAATGTAATGGGGATGATCGCTACAATGTTACAATTAGGCTACTAGAGAAGAGTAGCTACAATGTTACAATTACACTGCTAGAGAAGATTAGCTACAATTAGCCTGCTAGAGAAGATTAGGTACAATTAGGCTGCTAGAGAAGAGTAGCTACAATTAGCCTGCTAGAGAAGAGTAGCTACAATTAGCCTGCTAGAGAAGATTAGGTACAATTAGGCTGCTAGAGAAGATTAGCTACAATTAGGCTAATAGAGAAGATTAGCTACAATTAGGCTGCTAGAGAAGATTAGCTACAATTAGGCTAATAGAGAAGATTAGCTACAATTAGGCTGCTAGAGAAGATTAGCTACAATTAGGCTGCTAGAGAAGATTAGGTACAATTAGGCTGCTAGAGAAGATTAGCTACAATGTTACAATTAGGCTGCTAGAGAAGATTAGCTACAATGTTACAATTAGGCTGCTAGAGAAGATTAGCTACAATGTTACAATTAGGCTGCTAGAGAAGAGTAGCTACAATTAGGCTGCTAGAGAAGATTAGCTACAATTAGGCTGCTAGAGAAGATTAGCTACAATTAGGCTGCTAGAGAAGATTAGCTACAATTAGGCTAATAGAGAAGATTAGCTACAATTAGGCTGCTAGAGAAGATTAGCTACAATTAGGCTGCTAGAGAAGATTAGGTACAATTAGGCTGCTAGAGAAGATTAGCTACAATGTTACAATTAGGCTGCTAGAGAAGATTAGCTACAATGTTACAATTAGGCTGCTAGAGAAGATTAGCTACAATTAGGCTGCTAGAGAAGATTAGGTACAATTAGGCTGCTAGAGAAGAGTAGCTACAATTAGCCTGCTAGAGAAGAGTAGCTACAATTAGCCTGCTAGAGAAGAGTAGCTACAATTAGCCTGCTAGAGAAGAGTAGCTACAATTAGCCTGCTAGAGAAGAGTAGCTACAATTAGCCTGCTAGAGAAGAGTAGCTACAATTAGCCTGCTAGAGAAGAGTAGCTACAATTAGCCTGCTAGAGAAGAGTAGCTACAATGTTACAATTAGGCTGCTAGAGAAGATTAGCTACAATTAGGCTACTAGAGAAGAGTATGTACAATTAGCCTGCTAGAGAAGAGTATGTACAATTAGACTGCTAGAGAAGATTATGTACAATTAGACTGCTAGAGAAGATTATGTACAATTAGACTGCTAGAGAAGATTAGCTACAATGTTACAATTAGGCTGCTAGAGAAGATTAGCTACAATGTTACAATTAGGCTGCTAGAGAAGATTAGCTACAATGTTACAATTAGACTGCTAGAGAAGATTAGCTACAATGTTACAATTAGACTGCTAGAGAAGATTATGTACAATTAGACTGCTAGAGAAGATTAGCTACAATTAGGCTGCTAGAGAAGATTAGCTACAATGTTACAATTAGGCTGCTAGAGAAGATTAGCTACAATGTTACAATTAGACTGCTAGAGAAGATTATGTACAATTAGACTGCTAGAGAAGATTAGCTACAATTAGGCTGCTAGAGAAGATTAGCTACAATTTTACAATTAGGCTGCTAGAGAAGATTAGCTACAATGTTACAATTAGACTGCTAGAGAAGATTAGCTACAATGTTACAATTAGGCTGCTAGAGAAGATTCGCTACAATGTTACAATTAGGCTGCTAGAGAAGATTAGCTACAATGTTACAATTAGACTGCTAGAGAAGATTAGCTACAATGTTACAATTAGACTGCTAGAGAAGATTAGCTACAATGTTACAATTAGGCTGCTAGAGAAGATTAAAACCCAACAACACTGACAACATGCTCGATTTTACAAGCCTGGATAGATATTTTACCGATCAACTAACCACGTTATTGCAATCCGTCAGTTGATTACACAGTTGATGGCGTGGCGCGCAACCATTGGTTGATGCATGCAATGTCTGAGCAGGGGAAAGTGACCCTGATGTGATTGGTCAAAAGTCCAAATAGCGGAAAAAATATCAGAATTGGGTTGCCTGCGTAAACTTAGCTACAGTTTGTTACACCAGATAATGGCCGTGTTCCTCTGCCCAGGCATTGCTGACGCCTGTCAGATTTGACAACGCCTGGATAGGTATTTAACTATCAGCTAACCACATGTTAGAGCAATCTGTCAGTCGATGACCATAGAGATAGATAGAGGGCTCTTTATATCTGTGCCATTATAGTGTCTGTGACAACATGGGCAGTGCCATTGAGGTTACAACCCATAGGAATCCCCACCCAGTTGACTGCTTTGACTACTTTAAAATGGCGGAAGCCTCAATGAGGCTGCCCATGATAAAACAGCCTTTTAGACACTAGAAGCCTCTATCATTCTCTATGGTCGATGAAACAGTCGATGGGGTAGCACGCAACCATTGGTTGATGCAAGCAAGGTCTGAGCAGGGAAGGCGACCAATGTGATTTAACCAAAGATTTTTGGTATCCATTACTGGGAGTTACAGGATAGGTACTGTTTGGTGTAGCGCAGAGAATTTTCGACCAACCTTAAGGATACCATCTTCGTTCTCGATTCGGCCAAACATGCATCTTTGAAAATGACTGTCTTCAGTTCCAGGTGGTGTGTTTGAATTTAGAAAAATGCTCCATTATTTAAAAAAATCACAAAATAATATTATATTTCAAATATTTTCTCATTGATGGAGACAGGTGAGTGTCATGACATGCAGCACTTTGGGGTGGACCCACCGGTCTCAATCAATGAGAGAAGATTTGAAATTGAAAAGATGGCAAAGTAAGTAAGGTGGGTTACTTGGAGCAACAACAACACAACTTTATGGAGCAAATGCTAAATTCAAACGCACCACCTGCAACTGGACTCGACGACATTTTAGAATATATGAAGATGTTATCGCCAAGTTAAGGTTGGTCGAAAATTCTGTGCTACACCACAGTACCTATCCTGTAACTCCCAGTAAGTAATGGACACCGAAAATCTTTGGTTAAATCACATTATCTGGTGTAACAATCTGTAGCTAAATGTAAACGTAGCATTAGTTGTCTGCCTCACTGCAAATCGGTTGGGGTAGATGGTGGAGTATGAAAAATGTATGCACTCACTGTAAGTCGCTCTGGATAAGAGCGTCTGCTAAATTACTAAAATGTAAATGTAAAATGTGGAGCTAGAGATGGGAGCAGGTGCTCAACTGGACCCCTTAACGGGAAACTTACAGCTGATCAATCTTGCTCTGGGAGATGACGGAGTCCTCTATGAAGTACGGTGTCAAGGCGTAGAAGCACCGGGCCGGAGAGCTCCGTGGAGACGGGGCTACAACACCGGGAGGCATCGCTGCGATGTGAAGGACGGAGGAAGGGAGCGGGTGACCGGTGGTGCTGTGGCGAGGCTTGCTTCACTCCAGAGCGGCCATGTGATTGGTTACGCACCGGTGACCATAAACCGTCGTACTGCACTGACCACGATCGGGGACACACCGAAAAACAAGCCACTGATGTCTAGTTTTCGAATTGAACCACAAACTCTTATTTCATCCAAATACACAGTTCGCGCACGAGCACCAACTCACTAGCGCAACAAACAACGCGAGTCCTCTCTGTTTAGTCCAAAGTCCATATATGTAATAACACTAACATTATCATAATAAAAAATTAAACAAATAAAATAAAATCAATATAAAAACGCTAAAAACAGGCGTTAAATGTTTCACAATTCGCTCTCCAGATCCACTTCATTATTGGTGCCAAATAAACGCTAGACTGGATCAAGTGACTGATCTGTGTGAGCTGTTTTCTGTTCCGATGATGATATCCTGAATGTTCTCAACCCGCAGTTAGGCTGCGGTAAAGTCTACTACCCGGGAGAAAGGGAGGAGACTGCGCACATGTGCTCCAATCCGGGCTCCGCGGGGATAGGAGGTGTAGCGCTGAAGCCATAGACACTGATCTTAGATCGGCGTTGTGATTCTCCCCAATGATCGTTATGGTTACAGGATGTGGCGAAAAGCTGATCCTAGATCTGCGCCAAAAGGTCGCCTTCTGCCTGGCGGCAACGACACACGACACCGCGGTGTTTTCAGCTTCCTTCCAGTAAGGACGCGACGATAACAAACACGGAACAAAGATTGGGAAATCCAACAGCAACCAGATAACCCGAGGAGATGACATGACCCAGGTCCTAGCCGGGGCTGTTTATCTGATAGTGAAGCTAGCATGTTGATTTCTAGGTATTAGGTGGCATACATCGAGGCCCAAAGTTAATGTTTTGGATAATACAGGCTTAACCAACAAACATTTTCATATTCTCAGCTGTCAAATCACAAGAACAAGTAGTATCCTAATCCTACCACATTATGTGTGAGCCTGTGTATGGTGTTTCTATTTGTGTTTATTGTGTGTATTGTCTTCTTGTGTGTCTGGCAGAATGTGTGTGGTGGCTGTGTGGTCCTCGACCCTCTACTCAGTGGTATAGAGGAAAGACTGAGGTGTAGTGGTCAGATGACTCAGCAGTGTGCAGCGATGAGATTGCATGTGATCATGGAAGGATTCCGTCAAGAGATTCCATCTCTACCAATCTCATTTAAATCACAGACATTTCATCCTAACATATAGCAGATCTATAGATGTATAGAATGGGAGAGATAAGATAGTGAGTGGTTATATAAAATGATGATTGGGTCCAATAAACTAACAGTATACTATTCAGAGCTGTTAAAGTCTGGATACTACAGCTGATGACAGACAGAGAAACCTCTCATCCTCTACTGATAACTGATTACAAGAGGAACACTCATGACCCAATCATCACCTTCCTGCTCCATCTCTCTCTCTCTCTCTCTTTATTTTTCCCCTCACTTATCACATTTTTTCTCTCCCTCTTATCACTACGTCTCTCTTTTTGTCCTGCTTCTCTTTCCTCTGTTCAGATGGAACGATTGATCTGTCTCGATCTCTTTAACAAAACACACAAGAAGCAGGATATCGCTGTGCTTGTGGAAACCTTGTTCACTAGGGCGCTGAGCTCATGTTTGCAGCACTGAGTGGGAAAAGCAGGAAAATGTGCAGTGTGTGTGTGTGTGTGTGTACACATCAATATGTGTGTGGGAATCTTCCTCTGTCTCCCTAGCTCAGTGTTTCCCAAACTCGGTCCTCGGGACCCCAAGGGGTGCACATTTTTGTTTTTTGCCTTAACACTACACATCTAATTCAAATCATCAATGCCTGATGATTAGTTGAATCAGATGTGTAGCGCTAGGGCAAAAACCAAAACGTGCACCACTTGGGGGGGGGGCGTCTGACAGGACCAAGTTTGGAAAGCCCTGCCAAGCTCATCTTCTACCTCTCTGGTTGGACCGCTGAAATTGAAACTGTCCAATGAAACAGAGGATCCCGGACAAACAAAGACACTCTACTGTCGGACCAGCCATGTCACTTGGTCTGTGTCCACACACTGTCACCATGGCCTACAACCGCATGTAAAAACAGTCACACCAGGCCCACAAAAACACACACACCTCTAATCCTATCTGAGGCTTGGCTGGGGTTCCTAACTGATTAGCTCTATCCTCTCTGAGAGAGAGAGGAGAGAGAGAGAGAGCGAGAGCGAGAGAGAGAGGAGAGAGAGGAGTGAGAGAGAGAGCTAGCGAGAGAGAGAGGAGAGAGAGAGAGAGGAGAGAGATCGAGGAGAGAGAGGCAGGAGGAGAGCGCAGAGGAGAGAGGAGCTCTAGCGAGAGAGAGAGCGATCGAGCTAGCTTCTGCGCGACTAGCTCTCGAGCTACTCTCTCTCTCTCTCTCTCTCTCTATCTCTCTCTCTCTCTCTCTCTCTCTCTCTCTCTCTATCTCTCTCTCTTCTATTCTCTCTCTTCTCTCTCTCTCTCTCTCTCTCTCTCTCTCTCTCTCTCTTCTCTCTCTCTCTCTCTAAAAATGTTTTAAAAATAGGTTATATTTCACTTAACATTCCATGACGTACACTAAGGCATTGTTGGCAGAATAGATGGATGCAGTTCAATGCATGATTAATATAATTCACCAATACATTTCTTAGTAGTCCAACAAATATTGCTATCAGGTTGTAAATCACAGATGCACTGTTTTACTTTCAATTACTCAATATTTATGTATCTTATCACCTGGCTGTATGTTCTATTCCCTCCTCATATCATATCACCTGGCTGTATGTTCTATTCCCTCCTCATATCATATCACCTGGCTGTATGTTCTATTCCCTCCTCATATCATATCACCTGGCTGTATGTTCTATTCCCTCCTCATCATATCACCTGGCTGTATGTTCTATTCCCTCCTCATCATATCACCTGGCTGTATGTTCTATTCCCTCCTCATATCATATCACCTGGCTGTATGTTCGATTCCCTCCTCATATCATATCACCTGGCTGTATGTTCTATTCCCTCCTCATATCATATCACCTGGCTGTATGTTCTATTCCCTCCTCATATCATATCACCTGGCTGTATGTTCGATTCCCTCCTCATATCATATCACCTGGCTGTATGTTCTATTCCCTCCTCATATCATATCACCTGGCTGTATGTTCTATTCCCTCCTCATATCATATCACCTGGCTGTATGTTCTATTCCCTCCTCATATCGTATCACCTGGCTGTATGTTCTATTCCCTCCTCATCATATCACCTGGCTGTATGTTCTATTCCCTCCTCATATCATATCACCTGGCTGTATGTTCTATTCCCTCCTCATATCATATCACCTGGCTGTATGTTCTATTCCCTCCTCATCATATCACCTGGCTGTATGTTCTATTCCCTCCTCATATCGTATCACCTGGCTGTATGTTCTATTCCCTCCTCATCATATCACCTGGCTGTATGTTCTATTCCCTCCTCATATCATATCACCTGGCTGTATGTTCTATTCCCTCCTCATCATATCACCTGGCTGTATGTTCTATTCCCTCCTCATATCATATCACCTGGCTGTATGTTCTATTCCCTCCTCATATCATATCACCTGGCTGTATGTTCTATTCCCTCCTCATCATATCACCTGGCTGTATGTTCTATTCCCTCCTCATATCATATCACCTGGCTGTATGTTCTATTCCCTCCTCATATCATATCACCTGGCTGTATGTTCTATTCCCTCCTCATCATATCACCTGGCTGTATGTTCTATTCCCTCCTCATCATATCACCTGGCTGTATGTTCTATTCCCTCCTCATCATATCACCTGGCTGTATGTTCTGAGCAGTGTAAGTATTGGGACATAGACCCAAGTGTGTATTTCTCCTATGTGTGTGTTTTTGGTTGTACTATCCTTGTGGGGACCAGACGTCCAGACAATGATAGTAAAACAAGGAAAATTCAGACAAATGGGGACATTTCGCAGGTTCCCACAAGGAAAACGGCTGTTTTAGGCAGAGGATAGGTTTAGGGTTACAATTAGGGGTAAGGGTTAGGGAAAATATAATTTTTCAATGGGAAACAATTGTTTAGTCCCCACAAGGATATTAAAACAAACGTGTGCTTGTGTGGGTAATCAGGCTCTTTGGGGTAATGATTAATACTAGGAACACTGACTTCTAACTAAAGCTGTGACCAGATAAACACAGTGGTCATCCAAAGCCAGATTGATGGAAGGCTGTGGGGTACAAATGGGTATCTGACACTATCACTGTGGTCAGATAAACAGGGAAGTCCACTAACCCAAAGTCTGATGCAAGAGGGTGTGGTAAAGCTGTGAAAGCATTCAATGTCATTGGCTCCTGGTTGATTTTCTCTCTGGGACCAGCTCATACCGGGGTTTCAGTTCAGGTAGTTTGATTCATTTGTTCAGTAAACTATTTCTGTTGAAGGGCCTTGCATACAGAGCAGAGGTTTATGTAATTTTATCTGAGCAAATAGACATATGTACATGTGCAGAGGAGGTGGCGTGAGTCGCCTTTAGCTCAGACGGCTAGTACACTCCAAGTCACATTGGCAACCTGGGTTCAATACAACGTCTGCTGTATGCATGCAGCATACGAGTTATCTATCAAGAACAATAAAAGGCATCTGATGAAAGTCACACCTCGCCCTGATATAGCCAATCACAACCTTTGGAAGCCTGAGGCAGCCAATCACCTGACTGCTGTGTCATTAGACTTGATAAATCAGTCATTTATGACTCTGCAAAGACACACACACACACTAACACACTCAACGTGACCCAGAGGCTAATACTGTACCTGTGCCAGGGGACTTTTACAGTGAACAATATAAAAGTGACGTCCTCCTGTTTACAATGTCCAACCGCTACTGACTCAGAGTCAATACACAGAGCAGAGCACCCTTTCCATTATAGATGCTGGGGCG